AATCAACAAATATAGTTCAGATAAACATAGAAAATTCTCATTGATAATTTTTAGTTCTACTATAGCCATCAATGACATGAAGTAGTAGGTTTTGTTGCAGATAAACCAAGGTTCTATGGATCAACCAAGGATCTATGGATCAACCAATGTTCTAGCAAATTCTTTAAAACTTGCAATCACTAATAATAACAGTTTGGTGGTTTTAGCCCCAAAACTTATAGCCAGAGTACTGCTATGGGACTTCTAACTCTATATTTCTCAGCCACCAAAGTTAAAGATCCAAAGGAAGAATTGGTTGAAGTTGCTCCACCCAAGGCAACAAATCTCACTTTGTAGCTCATTTTTTCACCCATCTTTTTGAAACTCAAGGTTTTAGGCTCAACACTCACTGAAACTCCAGCTGGTTCTTTCACTTGCACTGCATAAGTACTAGGAATGCTACCGACATTTTTCGCTGTCCTCTTGTATGTCACACTCGTCTTCCTTCTATCTTGGTCGAAAATCACAGAGAACGAAGGGTAATTCAAGTCGCCAGACTGAACAACTGAAGTACCAGGACAAGTGAAATTAACCCCATTGGAGAAAAGAGCTATTTGGGAAGAGTTGTAGTTTAAGCTGCAGAGGTAAAGCAGATAGTCTTCAGTCGTGATGTCATAAACTAGGCCTGGATCAGCAGCACTTTCTGGATCAACGTGCCCCGAACCAAATGCAAAAGGGCTAGCTGGTTGAGAACTATTCGAGCCAACATCAGAAATCGGAGAATGCTTGTTGTTTATGGTATAAGCTGTGGTCATTAGTGCCGATTTGATTTCTGCAGGTGACCAATTATTATGTTCCGACTTGAGAAGAGAGGCTAAGCCACTAACATGAGGGCAGGACATTGAAGTGCCTGAGATTATATTAAACGGCACGCTTCTCTTATTGCTTTTGAGCATGCTTGGGCTAAGCTTGGGTGGCCAGGCTGCCAAAATGTTCACACCCGGCGCAGTCACATCAGGTTTGATCACGTCTGGTCCAGCTGAACTTGGCCCTCTCGATGAAAATGCTGCCATCACAGGCGCAGTGTTGCCATAGACTGTGCCTTGGAACACAAGCGAAGCCGATGGTTTCTTTGATGACATCACATATTGTCTGATGGCTTTAGCAGCAGAAGCTCCAAGAGAAGCGGCAGGCAAAATGTGAGGATCAGCAACAAGTTCCTCTCCTTCGGTGTCACTGTTGAGTAATAGCATTCCGGCTCCCCCTGCCTTCTTCACCTTCTCTCCAGTTCCTGCTCGCGTGTACAATCCGCTCTCACAAACCACAATCTTTCCTTTTACAAGCTTCTTGACCAGTGCACCCTCAAAGCAAAACTCAGCTCCTAGGCTATTACCTGCGGTTCTGTTATACACTAGTGGCAATTGCTTAGTTTTTTCACCTGAATACAGAGACGTCCCTTTGAATATCTGCCCATTCCCGAGCTTCACAACTGTTGGGAAACGCCTGTCAGTGTAGCTTGCTGCAACAGTCATAATCCAAGGTGCACCATTGCTAACACTTGAAGCAGAAGGGCCTGAATTGCCTGCAGAGCATGAAACTGAAACTCCATTTCGAACTGCTCCAAATGTAGTAATAGCAATGTTGTCTCTGTAAAAAGGCCTAGAAGTGCCTCCCAAAGAGAGTGACAAAATGTCTACCCCATCTGCAACAGCACTGTCAATTGCAGCCATTACATCAGAGTTGGCACATCCGAATTGCCAGCAGGCCTTATAGGCTGCGATTCTTGCAGTACGCTTCATACCGCTGGCTGAGCCCTTGGCCAAACCAAATAAGCTAGCATGACTTACAAGGTTTCCAGCTGAAGTGGAAGCAGTGTGAGTTCCGTGCCCTCTTGAATCGCGAGGGGATCGATACTCTTCTGTTTCGTTGATTCTGCCAACAATGCCCTCATACCCTTTGAAAAAGGCTCTTGCACCAACAAGCTTTTTGTTGCAATTTGAAACTGAGAACTTTGTGCCTTCCTCACAAGTGCCTTTCCAACGAAAGGGCACTGGGGAAATGCCTGTGTCATGGAAGCTAACATGTTCTGGCCAGATCCCTGTATCGACAAAGCCAATGATCACGTCCGAGGCCAAGTTAGAAGCACTCCAAAGTCCTTTGCCGTTTTGTAAGCCAAGAAACTGAGGAGTGTGTGTGGTGTGGAGAGTTAGCAGTTCATCACGTGTCGCAGAGAGGAAACCATCTATTCGGTTCAAGGATCGGAGTTGAGAGGCTGATAGCTTTGCTGCAAAACCTGAAACAGCAGTTTCATAAGTGTAAAGGAGCTGAGGAGTTGGTGGTTTGTTTGCCTCTTCTGCTTGAGATGAGAGTGCGGTGATAGAATCGATCACAGATTTGTAGTACCGTTGGTGATCTGAGTCCGTGATTTTCGCCTTGTCCATGTGAACTATGTATGTCTGTTCTTCCATTAAAGCGGTTATTGTTGTAGCCATGAAGAACAAGAACAGCAAGCATGTTCTAATTATGACCATGGAAGCTCTGAAAAAAAAGGACAAGTCAATAAATAATAAGGAAGACAAATTAAGCAAAGAAACACCAACTTTGAGTAATGTTAGAGGATCATATTTTTCAAATGATTTTGCTACCAAATTATGCTGAAGTTGTCAATGAAAAACTGATTATAATAATTGATGTAATAAGTACGCATCAGTTGTCACATAATGCTTAACGAATGTAGCTAGCAAATGTATGTGATCGGTCTAACATTACCCAAGAGATACATCGAGAGAATGAGAAAAATTCAAAGAGATGTTCGAATATGTACCTTTGCTTGCCTCAAACAAGGAGAATGGGGAAGTGTATTTTGTGTGGGGTGAAGATTTACCAACTTAAAAGGCTGTTTATATAGAAAAGAAAAGAAGCATGCTTTTGATAATATGCAAATATTGCACCTTAGTGTAGAAATTATTAGAGAGACGGGCTAAAGGCCTACTTCCAACAACACCAATATTGCCCCCAACTTGGTAATTACCATCTACACAATCTATCAAGTGTGAAGTTTTATCACAAAAGGCATCAGTATTAATTAGAGTGAGATTAGAGTATTTAAACTCTTTTTTTCTCATAGATATGGTTGATGTTCAACCATTAGTAGACTTGAAGTTGACAATTTGATCTCTTTACTCTTATATGCACCATACCAACAACAAGCGTGCCCACTTTCTCTACTTCAAAGTGCACGCCTGCAAATGGATCAAAGCTAGAAACATAACTGAACAAAAGGTACGCTGCCGAATCATGAGGTATCCAGCACACACCTTCTTGGTGCAAAAGTAAATCATGGGAAGGAAGATTGAGTCTGCAATCATGTGTGATGGAACACCTCTTATATTTAAAAAAGAAAATGCCTTCTGGTGCGAAAGTTCTTGTGCAAGTATTCACTCATATTATATTTTTGGCTAGCGATTTTAACACTTTTTTTTTTGTCTTCTCCTAGCCTCTTACGCGCATTCTTCTTTTGAGTGTCGAAAACATGTAAACTTTTAGAGTGCATACGGCTAAAATACGAGAGCCAAATTCGCTATTTTTTTCTTCTTTCAAATGACTTTTATCTTCCTATTGATTTATTTAAGCACAACAATTTACCGAATGAACTACGGGCTACGGTTTTTATACTTTCATGAGCTAATTAGTTTTGATTACAGTTTGAGAAAATGTGTTAGAACTACAGCAAAGTTGCAATACCATTCCATTGTTTACATATGCGACACTTATTACTGTTCTTTGCCATAGAGATTGGTTGGGCAGGTCCAACTACCGTATCATACATGTTTTTACAATATATTTTCTATTGTATTTATTCTTCTGGGTTTCGGTTATTTGTCCCCCTCATTGTACTTTTTTCTTTTCTAATAAATTTTGGTACGTTTGGGCGTTCGAGGGTCGTCCTTTATCCCACGCCTATGCCAAATTAGGGAAAAACTTTTGACAATGTAGGATATTTTTGTGTTAAAAGTTAGAACATCCTATGCGATCAATTTGCTTCAGCTCCTCCACTCCAAAAAAATGAAAACATATAAATTAAAGAGAGAAACCATTAATCATAATAAAGTGTAGAAGAATATACATTGTGAAAGGAAGTGGGTTTTGCAGGCTTGCATTACGGTCACCTGAAAGATAAGAGGTGCGTGTTGATTGGTCGGCCAGTCCTCTGTTAAAAAAAATAGTACAGTTTACCGAAATATGATGTCCCTAAAATTACTCGATTTGAAATCATTTTTTCGAGCATGCACCATTTCATTTGGGAGAAAAGTCCAGAGCAAAAACAAAATTTATTGGCTAAAGCAAATCCCGGCCACTCTCTCTTACCACCCCATGCCAATGACATGGACCAACACAAGTAGGTCACACCTTTACTAAAAAAGTGATACATTGAGGTTTTTCAAAATGCAGTTTCTCTAGCGTTTTTCTTCAAATCCTCAAAATGACAAATTGATTATTGTTCTTTTAGCAGTCACCACGTGGCCTTATCACCAATGCCTTGCTTTGAGTTCAATTCAAGGTAGTAGTAGACTACTAGTAGTGGGACTGAGATGTGAAATAATGGTATATATGCACTTACTAACATGATATGACATGAAAATTAGCCCCACTTCACAACGTACAGCATTTCCAAACGGAATCTCATCCAAGATTTTTTGTCTCGTGATATAGCCTTCTCCGATTTCCTTGCGAAACTTTCATTATACTACAACTATTAGGGAGTAATGAGAAACATTTATGCAAATGGATCTCACCTAACATAATACTACATACAATTCCTTTTCAAATAAAATAAAACTATTTAGATTGTATTTATTGATTGCATCTCTCATTTGTAAACCTTACAATAGTTGAATGGTTCATCAAGTTATATTCGAGTTACACAAACAACTACGGAGGACAAACATTTTATTTGAGTCAATTTCTATCCATAGTTGTTATTTAAAAAAAAAAATTCAATACGTAAGAGAGAGAGCCTGTGAGAATGCTTATGTAGTTCACTCTTTCATGGATTTCCTGTATATATATACACTAACTAGGCACCTTCAACTCCAAGTAATATACTGATCATGGACTGTAAATCACAATGGGGCTCCTCACGGTGTATCGAGTGCTTTTCCATCCGAGTGAGCCGGATACCATCCGCATACTGGTCATAGGGTTCGCCTTCACCACAACTTGGAAGGTCTTCCTTTCCAAGGTGGTGGAGAAAGATAGACTCATGGGCTTCACAGTGATTTCAACTCCCTTTGGTGCTCTAATAGTGGCATTGTAGATGGATTTTGCAGGGCCCACATTGGTGACAGTTCTTCTGAAAACACCAACTGTTGGTTGCTTGTTGCTTTTCAAGCTGAGCTGCATGGTGGGATAGTTGAGAGCATCATAGCCTTGACCAGGAAGCAATGAGGAGCAGTTTAGGGTTTTTGAGCCCACCAAAGGGGCTAATGAGGACCCTTTGTAGCCTTCATGGCAGAGGAACTGAATGTAGGACAATATTTCATCCATGTCATAGACTAGGCCCGGGTTCACAGCTTTAGCCGGGTTCACTTGACCGGCACCATAGGCGAATTCTGCATCGCCGTTCACCCGCTGGCTCATTGGTTTTGCTTGACAAAGATGTAAACATTGTAATCAGAGTGCAAGTCATGATAACAGTGAGCGTAATGAAAGAATTTGAGTACTATTAGTAAAGGCATGCTTTTGCACGTAGTGCTTTTTTCAGAAGCACATAAAATCGTCCATTAAAAACTCGATAACATTCATCTAAATGCACTTCCTGAGAAAACACGTATAGCGTGCTTCTCCAGAAGCACTTAAGGGTGTTTCTCCCCAAGCGAGTGTTATTTTACATCTTTTTCCATTTCAGAAACGCTTTTAGTTATTTGGGGACACTTTTACCACTAAAAAATGAAAAAAAGTTCCTTACCAGTGGTCAAGATGGCAGATCTAATTGCAGCCGGTGACCAATTCGGGTGGAATGACTTTACGTATGCTGCTACTCCAGCAACGTGCGGGCATGCCATGGAAGTTCCAGACATGAGTGTAAATTCTGAAAATTGTGTGTCACCTGCCAATCCAGTGAGCGACTTCCTAAGAGTGTAAGACGCCAAGATGTCAACCCCAGGTGCTGCAATATCAGGCTGCATCACATAATACGGCACCAAAAACGGGTTCATGAGTTTCTAGCAGTCTTAGTTAAACTATAATAAAATGACCAAGACAACACCTTGAGGATGCGATTGGATCCTTGATTTGGACCCCGGGAGGAGAATGAAGCAACAAACGGAGCACGTTTCATTGTTTGTTGAGACTTGTATATCACTGCTGATGGTGATCTGCATGATAATAAAGAAAATGCTATTTATTTTGCTATGTAAAATTATAAACATTAAATAAATTTAGTTATAAGTTCTTAGTGTACTATCACCCTTCTTTTATTCATTATCTTTCGAGCGATAATCTAAACTACAAGGACTTGACTAGAACTTGGGTGCAGATTGGAGAGCACTCTCTACCTTGTTGTGTGAATGTACTCATCTATGATATCTCCGATTGTAGAATTGACCATGGTTCCTGGAGCCATGAATATTTGAGCAGCATCAAGAAACTGATCATCTTCAATTATAATGCCAGCCCCTCCAATTCCCTTAACCACAGAATCTGCGCCCCAAGATCCGAGTTTGCAGAAAACAAGCTTGCCCTTTACCTTTCCAGGGTCTAATGTATCCTGAACACAGAACCTGTCATACACGACAATCGTCCGAAGAATTAGTATCTTTTTGTTTTCTCAGATTAAGTTAAATTGTTTTTCTTGACGGATGATGAACAAAGTGATGGATTACCTTGCACCTTCCTTGGTTTGAGAGCTTTGTGCTACATCAACCCCACTAACAATAGGGTATAAGTTTTTCTTTGGACTGAACATGCTCACTCCAATCCCCTGCATGTATCATATAAACACAATCAAATTAACTGCATCATACAACACAGCCAAAGTACGGGACATTTAGAAAATTCTAACTTTTTACTAACGCAATAAACACTTTTAGCACTTTTTAAATAGCAACTCGAGGCCCCCTCGAATGGTTCTCAAGTCCTCTTGAGGCCCCTTGAGTATGGTCAAGGGCCCCTCAACCAATACAAGTAGGTCACACCTTCAACATGTACGAAACAAAACTATAAAAAAAATTCTTCCAACAGTTCGGTTTAATCATCATACACCACCAAGTATCATCTAGTAGTTAATTTTGGATCAAAATAATCATAATATGTGTTCCCCCTATGCATTCGATTACGAATCTCTGCTTTGCAATTTAGATTAGCTTAAAGTAAAATATCATTTGCATAAAAAAAAAAAACAGTCAAAGTAAAATTCAAAGGGTGTGCACCACCTAAGCAGAAATGTAAACTTACTGAGACATCCTTTCCGTTGCCCAGATGAACTTTGCTTATGAAATCCCTATCAATCCCACTGGCAGCCACAGTTACCAACCATGGTGCATGATTAAGAACACTTCCCAAATTTGGTCCATCATTTCCAGCTGAGGCCACAGTAATAATACCCTTCTTAATGGCATGAAATGCACCTATTGCTATAATGTCCGACACATAACTTGAACTCCCCCCACCAATAGAAATTGATATGACATCGACGCCGTCATGTATGGCAGCATCATACGCTGCTAGGATGTCCATGTCTGAACAGCCACTGCTAGCCCAGCATACTTTGTACATGGCCACCCTAGCCGAGGGCACTGCACCTCGCGCAGTGCCATTGGCTAGGCCGAAGAGGTTGGCATTGGGGACCTGGTTGCCTGCTAAGGTTGATGAAGTATGAGTCCCATGGCCGTCCACATCTAAGGGAGATAAGATGTCAACTGGGTCTGGATTGCCATCAAGCTTGAAGTAATTGGCACCTATGATCTTGCTTTAAGTGACCATATTAATTGACAAATACATATATGGGTTAGGGGACATTTAATTTCATAACTTAGAAGTTACAGTACAATCATAAGTAACTACCAAAAATAATACACACACACTTATAGGATGAGCTTCATAAAGATCCTGCTCCACTATTCATGAAACGAGATATGATGGTGCTCTCGTATTGACCATTTCGTGACCGTGCATTGACCATAAAGTGAACTTTTAGAGGTATAAGGATGTTATATGAGCATTGCATGGTCAAGAAACGGTAAATACAAGGGCACTTTGTATCCTGCTCCATGAAATGTTGCCAGGGATTCCCTTCATGAAATTTTCTGCAATATTTTACGAAGAGATCATGTCAACTTTTACTTTGTTTTTGGTTGAAATGAACGTGCAGATACTCATCACAACTTGGAATCATTTTTGTTAATGTTTGATAAATCATAGGGTGTCAATGTTGGTCATCAATGATCATGTTTATTTTTGAAATTAGTAATGACAAATGCTCTCATTTTCTTTCATTTATTTAAAAAAAAAAAAGACATTTGGCAATTATGTAGAAACAAACCATGTTAATTTCTGTCCTGTGGTGTATATGGATGTAAATCTTTTCAATCAACTTTATGAGAAAACTTGAAAGGGGTATTTGCAAAATCTTATTAAATTATGAATCTGTTCAAAAAATTTACTTGTTGCATCCAGAAAAATTGGCAAAGTGGCCACAAGTTCCTTTCCACTTTGCTGGTGGAGGACCTAATCCATCTCCCTTAAAGCTTTTGGACTCTGGAGTAATTCCTGGAAATTTGAATACCAGATTATACATGACTCAAGTATATGTATATGTGTGTGTGTGTGTGTATATATATATATAAGTTTTATTTTCATCATAATTTAAAGTTTATGAAGTCATATGCAACAGAAAGAAGAAATTAGTATTCTTTATAACCTGTATCAAGGAGACCAACAATTATGTCACTTTCAGTCTTCAAATTTCGTCTAGCTTTTTGTGGTAACCCAATGAAATCCCATGATCTTGTTGTGTGTAGCTTGTGATACCTATTAGGAATCACGGAGAGAACCTCGTCCATTCCTATACATTCACAACACATAAGTTAACATCAAAAACTTTTTTCTTACCTCACAATGTTAATCTGAACTATTGGTCATGACGATTTGGATTCAAACTGATACAGTCACGCACATACTTTCTAATATTTTGGCTTCATCACTAGAAAGCTTGGCAGCAAAGGCATCGAAGCTCTTTTTATAGCTATAAACCATGGACTCTTGAGCATCAGCATAGCTGCAAAACATAAACATGTAAACATCGTATGGGAAAAAAGAACTTCTATATAATTCCATAGTTTTTTTTTTTAAGACGATATCTACTCTAAATTAAATTTTGAGGGATAGAATTCGAACTAATCACACTGTCTTGGCCAACTAACCAACCCACGTGTGCATTTCATGCATAGTTCAACATTTTATTGTTTTTTGCATGTGTGCATGAGAGGAAGTGTAGAATGTCAACCAACCTTCCTTTAACAGATGAGAGGATTTTCATATGCGTATGGGAAGCTGCAGAGTCCTCATTATTCACAGGATGAGCTCCCAAGTACACAATGTAAAACTTCTGTGCATTTCCATAAATTACAAAACCGGGTTAATAAAACATAAAATTAAATTTAAGACAAAGTATTAGGGTATGTACCTTTTTGTCATCTCCTTTTACACAAACAACGCCTACTAAGATCAAATAAAGAAGAAAAAGAAGAAGAAAGGAAGAACTAATTTTCTTGCTACACATGCTTGCAAGATTTAATGTTGGCTTTGCACTCAGCTGCCTCACAAATTGGTTCCTCTTGTTTTTATACATCCAACGAGATATCTAGGTGGTTTCAGAAGGAGCAAACACAAGAAAAACGTAAAAGGATAAGAGCAAGAAGCCTTGAGGTGTTTTAAATTCGTTGAGAAAGCTTAGAAGTAAGTTAACAGAAATTCAGGTTGTGTATTGTGGTCAGGTCAATGTCAATGTTATCTACGCGCTAGCATTGCTTCTTTTGGAGAAACTTGCTGAAAATATCACTTCCCTATTTGTTTGTTAGAGTTGCACTTTCTGGATGGGGTGTACATATATATATATATATATTAGCACATGTGAGGATATATATTTAATAGCCCTACGGATGTGTTAAGAATAGTCTCGGATCAGAAACTTTACAAATAATTATAACTTATATTGAATAGTTCCACTTGTAACTGCACTGAGTCTTTTGTAATAAATTTCAACACCTTGCTAGAGTGTGCAGGTGGTCAAGTTGGGGCAATATCGGTATGATAAATAGTGGGTCGTTAGCCCGACTGTAAAATCTTGATATTTAAATATTTATGTAATCCTATAATTCTTTGGTTACTTGTTGCTGCGTAAGACTTGCAGCTTAAATGCTTGACAATTTTTACCCTTGAACACTATTTCTCGTATTCGATTCCCTCCTCTCCGAGCATTGCTAACATTGAGTCTTAAATGCCTATACCATTCAACATAAATTGATTTTATGGCCTTTTCAGACACCAATGTAGTGTATGATATGTGGAATGTGTCATGGTAGGTAAATATTGTGGTGTATTGTATTGAATGTATTTGATGTGGATCAACGTTGTGAAATGAATACTATGAGCTGGAGATTACTGATAAGATCACTGTCCAATTTTGAGCATTACTCATGAGTTGCTTGGAAACAAAGAACCTATAAACTTTTAAACGTATTTTTTTTACTTGAATTTCAATTCAAGCAAAAGACCTTTCCATTAATTCATAGGTAGAAATGGGATGACTTGATGTTTATTAACAACGACCGTTTAACTTATAAGATGGATTTTGCTTGTCTTAATTAGAACGGATTTACCTCAGCCTGCATGGAAGAATTATAATATAATAAACTTCTAAACTAACATTAGGTGTTTAATTACTCTAACATAAAATATGCATATTCACGTAAGGAAAGGTAGGTTTAACTTGGAGTATTGGTGAAGCATGAATTGCGCAGAGCTTTTTCATTTTTGTTCTTACTACAACCAAACCAAGGACTAAAATATTGTATTTATATGTGATTGTGTAAATTCTAGATTAGATTTGATACTAGTTATTATTCCCTAGTAGGATTTGTATTTCTTGGAGGAGAAGGATTCTTCCCTCCCTTATTACTATAAATAAATGCACTGTGTAAGGGGAAATAACACATCCTCTACACAATCCTACAAACACATCTCTCTCCCTACTCTCTCTCAGCAGTGCGCTCCCTCTCTCTCCATGTCAGATTAAAATAAGCCACAACACGTTATTAGCACACTCCAACCGCTGTGCTTAGGAATTTGACATGGAATTATTTGTCTTCAATTAGGGGAGTATTACGTTTCAATTATTCTTATTTGATTAAATTTTGATTTTATTGAATCCTTGTGTGTGTGTGTGTGTGTGTGTGTGTTGAACGTGATACAAGCTTTGGAGATGGAAAGCCGAAATTAAAGAAATAATTTTATGCACCAAACCAGTTCATTAATATCATTATGCAATCAGCTTCTTCCAAAATAGTGATTTGTATCTCGATATTTTTGCAGCCCTTATGGCATGAACATTCACCATAATGCATGACCCAACTTTACATTTTTCGAATTTTAGATTCTACATAAATTGTGTATGCATTATATCCCATTGTTGAATTATGTGAATTGATATTGCCATGAATTGCATCATATGCTCATGCATTAAATTATATGTTGAATATGCATTAAATTATGATCTGGAAATCGAAAAATAATTTTTTTTTAGGATTTTCTGAAAACCTAACCCTCGAGCAAGTCGAGACCACGAAGCCCTTGGGCTCCAAACCCAGAACCAGAAACAATGGCACACCATTCTCGGTGACCCGCAATCACCGCCAACATGGCCTTGGTCGAAATTCTCCAAAATCTCACTGAAATTTGTAGCCCTGTTTTCGAATCCATGGATTCTTGATTCATAGGACATCAAGACTCGTTTCTCCATCATAATCGAGGTTCTTTGTTAAAACCCGATTAGTACTGATGTTTTTTTCGATCCAGAACGTGGTTGTTAGTAGCGACGATGCTGGCCTCACCTCCGGCGACATCACCCAGCGACGCTGTAATGTTCTTTGGTCTTTACCTGAGCCCATCTGGACTTGGCTAACCCTCGGTCCAAACATTAGCCCTTTGGGATGGCATTTCTTTCAGCCCACTGGAGAGATTTTTTTTTCTCTGGGCTCACATATTGCAGCCCATAAACCAGCTACTTAGCCTGCGAATAACACTAGCCTAAGTGGGTTTCAGTCTCTCCTTGCACCACGTAGTAGCAAATCCCAACCTTTGTGGCTAAGGCGTTATTCCTGCACCGCGTCGCACCAGAGCCAAGCTCTTATACTAGTGCACCTATATCCGTGAAGTACTAGAGCATGACCTCGTTTGGGCCTCCTTCTACAGCCCCTTTTTTTTTTTTTTTTTTTTTAAACCAATGGGCTTGTAGCCCATGATTTGCTCAGCTTGAGATGTCTCCAGCCCAATTTTGGGCTTGAACCTTGTCGATGAAAATTTCTGCCGTCTTCAGTCTTGACGAAAATGTATTTGCAAAACAATCAACAACTTTGATCAGAGACATAAGCCTCATGCGCCCACGAAGTGGGGGATGGGGGGTTAGGTCAACGGATCTCCGATGCCTAAGTTAGTTTCTCTGAGAGAGTAAAGTGTTTAGGGTTTTTTTAGGGTTGCAAAAAGCTCTCAAATTTTGGTAGAATATCGGGTATTTATAGGGCTAGGGCCGGCCATATAATGTTTAATGGAGAAATATTCTCTAAATATTCCCAAGATATTTAATAGGAGATAATATCTTGAGATAATGGGGTAATTATCCCTAATTGATTTAAATTAGGATTACTTACTTGATTGGAGTCAATCTTCAATTAGGAATGTATTAAAGATAGGATTTGGGTAATTAATTCTTGTCTTTAATTCCTTGCCAAGGGCAGGTGAGTTGTGGGTAGTTGTGTTCAGCTGCTGAAGCCTCCAGGGGTGTGAGTTGTGCGTGAGAGCATCTGAGAAGTCTGCCTATTTATCGAGGGCAATCTTGTCTTCTTTGAATAAAAATTCACGTGTCACCTCTTAGAATTTTTGGGATTATTTTAGGCTCCACAAATACCCTCACACCTACTGTGTTGCATGCAGGAAAATGATAGTAGGTGTAGGAATCCCAAGCTGCTTAGGCTTGTAGAATTGCTTCCCAATTTGAACTTGATCTTCTTTCTTGATTTGGAGATTGACTTCTTCTAGGAAAGGAAAATAATTGCCCCCCAATACCTATTTAATTCTGCCTTAAGCAGGGGATTAAATAAATTTGGAGAACAATCATTATTCCAACAAGGAAGAAAAGCCAGAGGAAATTTTTATTCCCTCTCCCCTACCGTTCTTCTTCTCTTGCCCTTGCAAAGAGTCACCTCTTGTTGTAGTTCTTATTCTCTGTGCCGCACCAAGGTAAGAAAAAAATTGAATTTTCTTCTTCTTGAATTTTTTAAGAGTCTTGGGACTCAAAAAATTGGCTTGGCGGGGATGGTGGGTGTGGGTGACACACGACTAGGAGCCACGGGGCTGCTTAGTGGTGCGGCAAGGGTCGAGTCAGCTTGGCCGAGGTGCTGGCAACTCAAGTTAGGCTTGGCGCGCTGCTGGCGTGGGCCAGGTGACACAATGCTAGGCTCGGGCCCACTAGAAATTGGAGGAAGGACGGAGAGTGGGAGTTTGACTCTTCTCTTGAGCTGCATGTTGGGATTTACTTTTCCCATGCTGCGTCTTTTTTTCAGGAGGTGATATGCTCCATGAAATGCCCGCCTGCTCAGTGTTCCCAAAATGCAGTTCGTAGGATGGTGTGGTTCTCGAGCTTGGGCAGGTTCTTTGATCTTGGCTTGACCATAAATGAGTTTTGGTACTTCTTTAAGATCAGGCAAAAGGAAGGTATGGGGCAGCTGAGGTCTCGCCATAGGCTACTCGATGCTTCTAGCCAAGGTAATCATGAGTGAGCAAGGGACACCTTAGAGGTGAATGAAGAGTGAGAGTCTGACTCTTCTCCCAAGCTGTGTCTCGACTACCTTTATCAGTGGTAAGTGAACTGCTTCATTCTTACCCTACTTGAATTTTTGTTAAGTTGCTCCATGACTTCAATTTATTGATCGTCTTTCTTACTTTGTGTAGATTTGGAGCTTGGCTAAACTCCAAGGACTTAGGCAGATATGAAGAAAGTCCATATTGCCTTAGGCATTCCTGCTGAGTACTGCGAGTGGTGTTGGCTACTCAGCCCTCTTCATCGGGAGAAGGGTGGCTTGCCTTCGAAGGAAGAGATAAAGCGGATAAAGGATGAGGCGTTGGCTCGCCCAATCGCTGCTGTAGAGCCTGCTGCTAATGATGGTGGAAAGAAAAGGTCTTCCTCACCTGCTTGTAAGCCTTTGGCTGAGAATAATCCAAGGACTTCTTCTGCTGCTCGTAGGAGCTCGTCTATTATCGAAAAGCCTATCATTGATCTAACTTCCCCCAATCGAGCGAAGAAGACCGTTGAGCATGTGAAACCTGCTGCTCCGAAGGTGACTGCGTCCATCGTTGAGAGACTTGCCCAATGGAAAGGTTTGGTGATACCTCTGGTGTTTGGGTTTGTGTCGAATCATTCATCAAGAGCTAAGTCTGGATCGGCTTCTGTGAGGCTCACCGCTATGAAGAGTAGAATGGTGGATTCTGCTGCTAAAGTGGCACCTGGGCCCATTCCTCATTCTGCCAAGATTAACTCGTCTGCTGAGAAGGGGAAATCTACTTGCATAGGCACTTGTGAGAGATCCACTGAGTCTGAGGCTGAAGAGTTTCCCGATGTTTGTGCGCTG